TTTTAAAAAAAATGATCAGGGCCTGGCGCTGCGGCTCACTAGGCTAATCCTCCACCTAGCGGCGCCGGCACACCGGGTTCTAGTCCCGGTCAGGGCGCCCGGATTCTGTCCCTGGTTGCCCCTCTTCCAGGCCAGCTCTCTGCTGTGGCCCGGGAGTGCAGTGGAGGATGGCCCAAGTGCTTGGGCCCTACACCCCATGGGAGACCAGGATAAGTACCTGGCTCCTGCCATCAGATCAGCGCGGTGCGCCGGCTGCAGCAAGCCGGCCACGGTGGCCATTGGAGGGTGAACCAACGGCAAGGGAAGACGTTTCTCTCTCTGTCTCTCTTTATCACTGTCCACTCTGCTTGTCCAAAAAAAAAAAAAAAGAGTGATTCAAACCTTTCCAGAAACAGGGAATTAGAAATAAATTTCTTTTGTTGCAAAATTTTTTTTTTGAAATCTCCAAATAGAAGTCTTCAAAGATTTCAAAAAATGGATATAATGAAAAGGTTCATTTGTTGTAGAGTAATACAGAAGTTTTAGGATCAAAAATTTCTATAAAATATTCTGGGTTTGATAAAAATAAGTGGATGAATTAAAAATAATGATTTGTGAAGATATTCACAACAAAAAGTAAGAGCACTGGTGACAAGTGGTCTGGGTTTTTTGTTATTGTTGTTGTTGTGTTTCAGGTATATAAAACGCTTCCTGTTTGCTCTTAAGATGAACAAAATTGGTGACCAAGGCTTTGGTGTACTGGGTAAAGCAGCCACCTGCAGTGCCGGCATCCCATATGGGTGCTGGTTTGAGTCCTTGCTGCTCCACTTCCGAGGCAATTCTCTTCTATTGCGTGGGAAAGCAGTGGAAGATGGCCCAGGAGAGTGGGCCCCTGCATCCAAGTGGGAGACCCAGAGGAGGCTCCTGGTTCAGATCGGTGTAGGTCTGGCCATTGTGGCCATCTGGGGAGTAAACCAATGGATGGAAGAACTCTCTTTCTCACACTCTCTCTCCCTTTTTCTGCCTCAGCCTCTCTATAACTCTGCCTTTAAAATAAAACAGATCTTAAAAAATAAAATGATACTCAATATTTTATTTAAAAATTTTAAAAGATGAACATAATTCCCTCTTTTTTTAACTTTTATTTAATGAATATAAATTTCCAAAGTACAGCTTATGGATTAAAATGGCTCCCCCCCCCCATAACTTCCCTTCCACCGAAACCCTCCCCTTTCCCTCCCCCTCCCCCCTTCCATTCACATCAAGATTCCTTTTCAATTCTCTTTATATACAGAAGATCAGTTTAGCATATATTAAGTAAAGA